AACAGCGTACAAATCTTTATTCATTTCAGCTAAACCAGTCGCACCACGTTTCCTAATCTGTCATGTTGATCGTTAATAAATCCCACGTCTTTCGTTTACATCCGCGCCCCTCCCATCTCGCTGTGATTTTCACTTAGATGACATATAACCCGAAAATCAAAAATCGTGAGGGCCCGCCTACTCATCTGGTGGATAAGAAAAATATCATTATATGCAACGTTTCAAATACCCTAAATCCCTGCCGGCAGCAATTGAGGGATTCCACACAACTCCAATCACAAGTGTGTTCTTCATGTGTCTACCGTACCGTCCCTTAAATAATTCAAAACGAATCTTTCCACGAAAACTTGCGATTTCTAGCAAGGTATCGTGCACGACTTCCGCTGGAACGCCCCTTCCCCCTTCATACAAGTGTACTGTTTCACTATAGGATTACAAGCCAGGCTACACGATCTCCGCTCATCGTATCAGCGAATACACACAGGCGAAGACATCCCCGTTTCTATATATACTTTCTTTTCATTGAAAATGTATATATCAACCATTCCTATCGCATCGATCATCTTGAAACAGTCAAAAATCGGTTCAGCAAAACCTCAAACATCCTCATCCTACCTAGCAGCCAACCCTCAGCCATCTCTCCTGCCACGTAAGTACTTTCTATTTTACCTTCTTCTGTTTGAAATGTTTTGCCTTTCAACATGCCACTCACCTTCCTCTTTCGGACTTCAAGTTTTCAGAACTCCTTCACCATGTCTTCCCAAACACCCGAATCAACACACGTCGTCGCAATCGAACCCTACTTCCGCGGGTATCAACACAAGAAGAAAAAGGGCCGGGGCAACAAAGCAAGAGGTCCTTTCAACTCCTGTGAGTTCCACGCTGTAATTCCCAGCAACCTCAAGGAAGACGAAGAATCCCCTTCCCCGGAATGTTCCTCAAGTTCACAGGCTTTGTTGAAAAAAAAGCTACCGGGTGTATGTACAACCGACGCAAAGACCACTCCGTCAACGGCGTTAAACCCAAAGACATGATGGCCTTTGTTCAAGCCCTCGTGACAAGCACATGATCGAGTGGGTATCAAATTGGTGGACCCCGCTTCTCTGATGGGGAAAAGCTCCTTATGTACGAGGCCACCAACGGTACTTCTTATGACCAAAGAGGCTTTGTTATCATGTGCCCAGAGGTGAAGTTGACGAACAAACTGGTGAACGTTTCTTACCCCAGCTCCCAACCCCAGAAATGGCCTTGAAGTGGTTCAATGAAACTTTAAACCGGCCTACATGCCATACGTGTACGAACCGGCAAAGAAGGATGAAACCCTACACTAGTTCTCGACGAACAGGACAAGTGGTACAAGGTCCATGACACCTGGAGTGAGCTGCTCACCCACTCCGACATCATGACTCACCTTGTGACGGATCTTGGATCGATCAAGGCAATACCGCACTGTATCCGAATTCTCAAGGACGACAAGGGCATGTGTACTCTATTTGGCCTCTGGTCAACTCCCGGCTTCACGTCTTACGTCCTTGATTTCACCGAAACAACCTTGGATGCATCGGACTCGGTCGCATGCGGGCCATCACTGGTGCCCGTCGCAACATTATTACAAGCCACTACGCACGCACACCATCCCCCGCCCCCACCTCTACTCCACCAGTTCGCCTTCAAGCTGCCACACTGGCCCTCTCCCATGGTTTGCACTACCCCCCGGCATGAACTTTGAGACCTTCTTGGGAACTCTTCTGGAAAAGCACCAACAGGAGAACGGTGGTAAGTCTCCTACAGTAGCTTCCCGTATAAATCCCCCGTGCCCTCACTTCAAATCCTCAATACTGGACCTCCAATATTATTCGCAAACATCCCAGTTCCAATGCAACCAAATACGTCATCTCCCGTCCCACCTTTCCACGAACCACGTCGGCCAAAGATCACCTGCGAATAGTCAGAATGATGACACTCCACAAGGTATGAAGAAAGCTGCCGAACTTCCTCACATCCTATTACCGAATACCCCAGTTCCGACGAAGAGCGGGAAACAGAGGAAAAAGAAGACACCAAGCTCCCAGCGGAAGCGAGCCAACCCTCCACTTAACACACGTTGACTTCAAAATTGCAAAACCTAAACCCTAAATATAAGCCACATGATTCATTCGATTCTATTCACCATTATCCTGTATTAGTAGACAAGTTAAACTAGTACTGGAAACGGAGACGACCCAGGGGGCATATGAATCCTCTTTTTGACAGTTGAGGGCATCAGCCTCCGGCTGCTTGTTCTTTCATTTTCAGCCAAGGTGTCCATTCATTTCAAAGAGCACTTCGTACAATCGCATGGAGATCATTGGAAGAGAAACAATGACATCCTCCATCTTGTCGCCCTTACTAGTATTCTTGTTGGCGTTGTTGTCTGCCATTGCCAATGAAATTCCTCCTGTCCCGCAGGTGGACCAAGTAGCTCGAGTCAAAGAACATCGCCGAGGTGCCAATGGCGATCTGGTCCCAGGAGAAGAGAACCTGCGCAAACTGCTGCTGCAATGGCATGCTATCCCAGGGGCCCTCGAGTATGAAGTCTGCCACAATTGCCACATTTCGGATTCTGGAGACGTACTAGAAGGAAACATCAATTTTGTTCCGACGAGCAAAACCAAGGCCGGGCGACCCGTTTTTGTCTTTCCCAATGCCCCCTTGGGCAAGAATTCATTTCATGTCCGTGTGAGCGTGGAAGCCGGAGTTTGGGGTCCATGGAGCGAGCAACGAAACTTTGTGGTCGATGAACCAGGACAAGTCCAGCATGACGAACTTTAGAAGGAAAACTTTGGGCAATCGAAAAAAGATAATGCGACAATCAGCTGGTGGCTCAAAATACTGGATGGCTATATTAGCTAGAAACGAAGTCCAATACTTCTCTATTTCAACCTGCCATCCCAGGACTCATGTACCGTATTATTCAAAAGGATGACAATTTTCTCCAAAACGAAACGTCTGCAGCCCCTCCAGGAGCTTACTTCTCCAATATTCAGGAATCGAATCGAATCTTCAAACTGATATAGTCAAAATTACCAAAAATATCTCCTAGCTAGAGTGCATGGAATGGACAACCATGGCAGCCTAGTACCTAGTACCTAGTACCTCGTACGGTACTAGTACAGTACTCATTATGGTGTCTCCACTAGCTAGTTCCTCCACTCTTTTTAATTTCTTTGGAGATTCATCAGTGCTTGGCTATCCTCCATATCATATCTATGAACTGTGGCATGTGTCTGCAGGCCCTATATATATTTCGTTACATGAGTTGAAGCTTTGAATAGTTCCTGGCTCTTCCTGTCACATACCGGTGGACTACAACGGGGTGCCCCAAAAGGCGTTGATTGGCTGCAGCTACCTGCTCGGCTAACCTGCTGGAGGTGCTTCCCACCGCTAACAATGCCATAGCTTTGGGACCACAATTAACATCATTGCAGCCACTAGGCTCAGACTACAGCCGGAGGCCAAAGCCCCCTTGTTGTCAGAAAATTCGTCACCGTCTCAAGATCTCCAAGAAGAATGGTACAACGTTGTCCAGCGGCTACAGTAGCTACAGATAGATGCAACACCAATACCGGGGGTAGATGAGAGCACGCAACAAAACAGATTACTAGAGCCGTGACACAACTCTAGCTAGCTACAGATAGATAGATATCAGCCGCACAAGCCTTCTCTTCTGCTGTGGAATGATGTATGTTGTCACCCGTCACGTTCTATAAAAGAAGCTCCATGTTGCAGTGGCAAACATTCTAAGACTGAGAGTCCCCTGCATTGCTCCATTGCTCTTTAGAGGCATGACACGATACGATACGGACCAACTAGATAACTATCGGTACTCTACTACTCTACTAGCCGGCTACTAGCTGGCTCCCTTGAATCGAAGGATCCTTCTGAGCGACCTGGACATGCTGTACCGTACATGTACCAGTACACTCCTGCCCTGCTCTAACTTCCGCACAGTTCTCTTTTCTTTTTTGCCGCGACGACAACGGCGCCCGAGTCTTGAAAGATTCATTCCTTTTTGAGTCGCGTAACTGCTAAAACGCAGCACACAGTGGACGAAAAACTGAAAGAAGTTTCCTTTTCAAGAAAAATGTGAGACAGCTTCTTCTTTGTCGACCTCTTCTCCTAAGGCCGAACCTAACCGTAGCGACATACGACAGCGACATCCTGAAACGTGGTTTTCTGGGAGGATGGTCAACCGGGGCATATGTAGAACATACATTGTATTCATTGATATATAAAGTTTAACTGAATGTATGGTGCGATCTGATTGGCCAGCGACATGTACTGAATCCCTATAGTAAAATATGTCGGAAAGAGAGTCCCACATACGAAATTTCGCCAAAATGTCGGGCACGCATGCCGGCATACGAGATCTCTTCTCTAGCTGGAAGCCTTTTCAGTGCGTTGAGTCATTGAAGAGAGCTTGACATCCTCCATTTTCAACATGTCGCTGTGGTATGTCGCGGCCGGTTAGGGTCGGCCTAAATGACCTCCTGTGACTTTATGTCATTCATTGACGTTTCTTTTAACTAGTGAAAAACTAGCTCCTACAAGGTCTATCCAGTGTCAAACCATACACTCTTGTTTGATGTTGCCCACTTTAAAAGCTGGCTCTGGGGGTTGCGTGTCCCGGTATCGTTCCAGGTCCTCGGTGTTTGGGTCAGCTTGATTGTGCTGGAGTACATGTAGGATCTGGTGTTGGAGCAGGTCTACTGTAGGTCCACCAGTAGGGATGGGTATTGGCTAGCTAGAGTGGGTTCTTGGGCTTCTAGAAATGGGCAGGGTTAGTTTTGGATCCAGGGGTGAGGGAACTGGGGCTGGTTGGTCCAGACAGAGCTTCAGGAGAAAGCCCATGTGTTTTCCCAGCAGTTTGACCGTGTCATAACCAGGCATGGGACCTCAGGATTGCACTATCTGGCAACAGGGTGGCCATCAATGGCCCAGCAATTGTTTCTGGTGGGGCCTGTTCAGGTGCTCAACCAAAGGCTGAAGTAGAAACTCGCATTGCTTTGAATCAGAGGAAGGAAGTCCGTGTACTTTTTAGCTCGGACCAAGCCAAGCCTCCCAACTTAACAAGTCAGTTTCATCTGATCAGCTTGTGCCAACAACTTACTTGCTATCAAAGCAACATAATAAACTTCTGAACTATGCTAAACAATGCCCCATTGTTTAGTGGATCATCTTGTACATCGTACTAGGAGTTTTTAGATTTAGGGAAGCATTGAGCTTGCCTTCAGACATTTCTTACCGTTATTTTCCCTCCAATTCAAGCTAAATGACCGTGTTGCGTGATGCTGGCCCACACTGGTAAAAGGAAAAACCACTCCGCGCCACTAAGCACAACCCCAACCACAAGGCGAAGGCATCAATCCTGCAAACAAGATCTCACAGTTTCAGCTTCGTGGTTGCTGACACAGGAGAAGAGGCAAAGGCGAGCTCCATCACATTATCTGATCAGATACCACTTTCAAGTGTTGGGTAGCATCAGGCCAGTGCTAACATATAGATTGCCAACAAGTACAGTAAGATACCCCAGTCACTGGTGCCAACAGGAGAGTCATTAAGCGAGATTTGAGGTTTTAAAGAGAATACCCTTCATTTGATACCACCACCATGCCGTCGATTGCCTCTCGGAAGAAACGCACCATGGCGTACAAGATGCAGCAGCAGCAGAAGCGTCAGGCAGCCATGGAAGCAACAAAGAAAAAGCAGGCCAAGGAAGAGGCTGCTGCTATTCGTCCCCCGCCGTCTCCCGACCTCCACAAGGACGAGCACCCGAGTGATCATCCCGACCCCGAATCGCCCGCATACCTCAATGCGTCTTCGGAGGAGGAAATTGATGTGAGTGAGGCACCCGCCGACGCGAGCAAAATCTTTCGCACGGTCAGCAAAGACTCGACGGTGGACCAGGACCCCATGGCGTACGCAGCAACCAGTCTCCAGCAACTCGGAAGTGGCAGTGAACACGACAGCGTTGTGCTCAGTTACAATCAACAAGCTCTAACGGAAGATATTTATGCGCTCATGAGCACGTCCAAGCTTTTTTCGGGGGGTTTCTTCTTTGCCTTGTCCATTTTTCTGATTCAAATGGGTATTTTGTCTCTGGTTTGTAAGTTATCACAACAATGCAAAACGAAATGATTAGCCAACTCAAGAGACCGGTGATGAGTTCTGTTTTGTGGCACTTTGGCTGACCTCATTCTTCCCCGTTTTTGCTTTCTTGCTTGGCGTCACAGTAACGGATTTAGTCGACATGTCGGACGAGCCTGTACAACGCAACGGAGTCGACAATCGATTGAATTTACCTGCTGATACCCCATTGCAAGTGAGCATTGCCCAGTGCTTGGGAATTATCCTCATCATTAATTTTGCCGTGGCAGAAGGGGATTTGCTGCGAGGGATTACCCACTTGGTCGATGGTTTCGATCCTGATCTCTTGCAATCTGCACCTCATGCCAAGCGAGTCAAGTGGCATTTTGCAGGAGTCTGCCAATGTTTGGTTGGAGCCTTCATGGTGATGGATGCCTTTATCCTCATGATGCAATCGGTAACGGTGATTGGTAAGTCAGTCATCCCTGTCTTGCTTGGCCGCCTCTTCCGTTTAGCTGGTTCGTTTGTTTTGACGGATCCATCCTAACTCCTCTCTCCCTCTCTCTTTCCAGAAATGTGTTTGAATTTTGCAGCCCTTTCCTTTGTGCAAGATTTTGACGATGCTGCATTTGCCATGGGGACCATGGGATTGCTTAGTCGAAAGATTCAGGCCGATTGTCTCAAGGTGGGACACCTTGTTGTCAAGTCGGAAAATCGAAACAAAACGAGGCATGTACGAAGGTTCACGGTCCTGCTCTTGACCGTTGCCTTGTTCATTCCCTACTGGATCATTACGGGATGGAAATGGAGCGGTAGTTTCATGTGTGACTCTCTCTACGTGCAATTCGGTGACGCGTACGGTCCAGAGTGGCCGTACTATAGTGGACGGTTCCACGCCATGGGCGGAAAATCCATCACGGAGCGAAGCAATGGACGGGTGGTCTATTTGGAACCAACCGGGACGTTGCAGGTCGGATATTGCCCATCCCTCCCAGCATGGACTGTCTCGAACCGCACAGAGGTGGGAGATGATTTCTGTAGTTACATGATTCGGAGCGAAGATACAAACACGTTCGATGTCGTGGATGTGGCAACAGATAATTGGTATGCTGCAACTACCACAGTGGGAGATGTCCCAATGGATTGGATGGCGGTGGTCTGTGCGGATTGCAATGAAGATCTGTGCGATCCTAGTGTGGGGCAGTGTGTGAACAACCAATGCCAGTGCCATAAAGGTTTTGTGGGTCTGAATTGCGAGTTTGAGGTGCCAGAGTGTACATTTCTTGGATTGGATATGCGGTCCAAGGGAGCTTTGCCGTCCCTGCCATTTGCCTCGCTATTTTTGAGGAATGAATTTGTCAAGCTGGAAGATGATTTGGGGTTGGCGGATCAATTCTACAATCATCCCATCTATGCTAGCTATGACGAAGTTGGAAACATCAATACACTCATTCTCTTTTCTGGCAGGAGGTACGTTTTTTCTTTGGTGGCAAATTCTTCCCGACTTGAAAGAAACAGCATCTGTTGAACTTGGCTTAACCCTTGCAAATGGCTTTTCTCTAGGTGGATCATCATGGGCACGCCCCAGGAAACCACAGCAGACTTTTTCTGGGATGTGTTTGTGGACAACTTGGTTGCAAATGATGTTCTGAACCACCCACTGGAGAATTTGCTCAATACCACCAGGACATTTTCTTCCCTGACACCTTTCTTCTTTAGTGGTCCGGTGGATTTTGGCACAAAAACTCACCAGGTCGACCCAATCCAAACTCAGTGGGTTTTGGCTGTGCAAGATGAATCATTGCCTCTGTTGGGATACCGCGGGGATGACACCTTTGATGTGACATTTCAGTTCATTTGTTCCCACTGCAATGATACGTATGCCCCTTGCATGAATGGTGGAACATGCAATGCAACAAGCACATACTGTGATTGCCCAGAGAGCTATGATGGGTATCGCTGTGAATACAGTTTGAATTGTCGTGAGAAACCATGTTTGAATGGTGGAACCTGTGATGAAGTCTTCAGTAAGTACTGCTGCTTTAATAACGGTGCCGGGCTTTAAGTTTGCCCCAATTGAGATCTCAACCCTGAATCTCTTCACTTGCAGATATCTGTACAGATTGCGATCCTCTGTATTACGGGAATCTGTGCCAGTTCAAACGAGTCATTATTGATGAATCTGGGAACATTGATTTTGAGTCCCAGGCGGCGTTGCTGGGAGATGACTTTTTTGTTTGCGTCAATGGTACCACTTGCAACAATGGCGGATGGTGTACGAGCAATGTCACAGCCTGCTCTTGTTTGCCTGATTTTGCCGGGGACCGCTGTGAGTTCTTGCGGGATAATTCGACACTGGAACTGCAGGATGGGTTTCTATGTGCCAACACCACTTGCATTAACGATGGGTGGTGTGTTGGGAATAGCACGGAGTGTACCTGTCCCGAACCATTCACAGGCACGTTCTGTGAACAAGTCTTTGGCAATAGCACCTTTGAAGACCTGTTTCACTGCTTCAACGCAACTTGCTTAAATGGTGGTTTCTGCGAAGCACCAACAGAACCATGTCAATGTGCCGATGGTTACTCTGGCGACTACTGCGAATCGTCAGCCAACTTGATTGAGGGTCATGAACTTTGCTCCAACTCGACTTGCTTAAACGGTGGTTACTGCAGAAACATTGTTGAAGTTTGCTATTGCCCTGAAGGATTGGAGGGCAACTACTGTGAAATTTTTGCCGCAAATGGCACTAGTGCCGACGTGAACGGAACGCTTGTGGACGATACGGTTGCGAACGACACGAGCGCCAACACCAGTGTAGCTAGGGACCGCGACGTGGACGTCGGAAATGGAGGAGAAAACCCGGACGTGGACATCGGAAATGGAGGAGACAACCCGGACGAGCCATTGTCGAGATTTCGCCAATATATGATGCCCTAGAACACGACAATTGCTGAGGGCTGTAAATAGAAAATGACTCGAGAGGGGTCTTGGAACAGGGGACGGTTGGCTGGTTGCCTACGACGATTCTCTCCGATCGTAAACAAGCAAATCATAATTTCCGCGATGCGCGGGATGGGGGCTATCATAGATCTAGCCTGCAAGAAAGATAGAAATGTACAATACTAGCTTTGCATACGCTTTCAAACGTTTCAAACAACGTTCCATGCCGACGCGAGAGCTACATCTTCTCCGTTTCACTACTGGTACCCTAAGCTAGTACAGGTCACATCTCCGAGTCTCACCCCGCCCTGCCAAAGTCGGCCGCATTGGATGTACGGTACGGTATAAACCAGCATAGCTGTGTCAATCACACTTCAAAACACCCGCTTTGAAATCTTTGAGGAGGTTCGTTCAAAGGCGCCTCGGTCTAACCGAGCCTCGGCAACACCATTCCGTGGACTGGACCAAACAATCTGGACAGCCAAAGGATACTTTTTCTCCCAGCAGGACACACCTAGCCAGAAGCCTGTTTTGCTGTAGTGGAACACCGTATTTGGCTAGTAGTAGAGGTAATAGTCTCGCCAGATACATCAAGAGAAGAATGACAAAAAGACGAGCAGCAAGCAAGAGACGAATGTTGCCTCCGATTGTCGCACGAGTATGTGTCTTGGCGGCGTTGGCGCATGCAGCCATGGCAGCGGGCGAGAATCAACAACAACAACAACCAAATTACTATGGAGATGATGGAAGCGCTGTACTGCACTCGTGGGACGAACCCAAGGTTCGCCTCTATGACACACGCCACAATACTATTGCCACGTACGAAGATGCTCGTGAATTTTGTAGGCAGCAGCAGGGACGCGTCTTGGCCAGTCAACTAGAATGGTGTCTCGACTGGATCCATCAACCGGATCGATCCGAAGAAAATGTCTTGGGAGGACACGTTCGAGAAACCGAGCAATGGGCGCCTGTTCGCGCTGCCACGGTCGTCGATCGCGTGGAATGGTTGCAGATTGGACACCTTGCAAATGCGAATGCTTCCTTGACAACAACAACAACAACAGCAGGCCAATCCAACAACAACAAGGAATCGATGGACAACGTGTGTCGTACCTACCAAGACCTTATCGGCACAACAGCCGATACAACAGACGACTCCATTTTGACCTTGGCCAATGGCGCAGAAGACGTGTGCAGTAGACCCTTCCTCTGTACCGGAAACACTTGCGTATTCTGGTGTACTCACGAGGAAGGGTACTACCCAGATCCACACGATTGCCGGGCGTATTGCTACTGGCTGTTCGGGACAAACGGGCAAACCCTCGTTGTGGCAACAAGTGGAAGGAGAGGGCTTGATTTGGGACCCCTTTTGTGGAAATTCGGAACCGCTCAATCCAGCCAACAAACCATTGGGGTGAGTATGCCTGCATGTTTGTTTGTGTCTTTGTGTACCTGGTATAGAGTGATGGATCTTTTTGTTTGAGTTGACGCCGCTCACGCTTTCTTTACTGGTTCTCATTTCATTCAATTGTCTCTTGGACGTGCTTTTTTTGTCTGTCAGAGGCATGACGGGAGGTTGCCCGAATCACAAATGGCACGTGGATGATAAACGTTACTGTATGGAACCTCGCCAGAACGGCAGGGCATTGACCGAGAAAGGGCATCCGCCACCATGGCTCAGCAGCAGCGACCAACCGACAACGAACAACGATATTCCAGAAGTGGCTTGCACACGGCTGGCCCGAGCTCCTGCAGTTCCACAGACGTGTGCCAGTGTCTGGGGCGCCTCTCATTTCATTACATTTGATAGTCACCGCAAACATGACTGCGAAGGAAGTGGAGAGTACGTGGCGACAACATCCTTGGACTCGCCCTTGCAACTGCAGGTTCGCATGGAACGCTTCAACAGCTCGATTCAGGCCACCGTCGTCACGGCGGCTGTCCTCCGTACGGGGCATCCGGAGGAACCTACAGTGGAGATTGCGTACAATGATTGTCGCATGACCTACATGATCAACCGCACGTATCAGAACCTGGATCTACTCTGGGTCCGCAACGGAACAATGGCAACGGGCACCGAAGATGTCGTTTTCTTTGTCAAACGAGACGATCGCTTCTTTCACTTTCGAAAATCTGGCTTGAGCTTTCACATCCGAAAGAAACACAGCGACAAAATGGGGTGCTACTTTAACATCAAACTGTGCATCCCGGACAAGCTGAAAGAGTCGGAACGACTGATTGGAATGTGGGGAACCCCGGACGGAATCTCCACAAATGAGGTCATGGATCCTGCGGGAGGGGCTGTAAAGAGACCAATGGCCCATTTTGCCGGTGCCTACCGTTATTGCACTCAAAACTGGTGCATACGGCACGCCAAAGAGTCTCTTTTCGCCCAGCCCTACTATAACGCGTGGCATTGCACGGAGCCTCATGACTCAACGCTGGAATCCATGGTCATGGCGGCGCCGCCCGAGCTCTACGCCATCTGCGAAGGCGATGTGCCCTGCTTAATAGAAGGCACCGCCGGCGATCTATCGGACAGCACAGACAGTGTCAGTGAACAGCGATTGCTGGGACAAGCCGAAATGCCACCCATCGAGGAGGCAAACGATCCCGACTCGATGGAGCAAGATGACATTTTCGAAACGACCGACGTCAAAGGGGCGCCTCCTCTTACCACTGCATATACCAAGGGCGATCCGTAAGTTGGGAAACCGATCTGTTTTTTCCTATACCACTTTTGGTGGACCGCAATCTTCGACCTGACTAACACTCATGATTCCTGCACTGCACCTCAGGCACTTTTTGACATGGTCCGGGGAGCGATTCGATTACCAAGGGGAGTGCGACTTGGTACTTTTGCACAACCCTAGTTTCTCCGCAGGGCGTGGCATGGACATCCACGCACGGACTCGCATTGAAACGTGGTGGTCCTACGTTGAGGCTGCCGCCCTAAGAATAGGATCAGAGTGCATTGAGGTCGTTGGCGGCGACAAGGAACAGTGGATCTGGTTCAACAGGAAGACGCCCAACAAGCCCTTGGTAGATGAGCAATGGTACCAAGGACAGATAGCTGGATACAAAGTGCGCTATCGTCAGGTTGGCTCTAGTCGGGAGGTCAACGTACACTTGGGAAGGCTGGAAGTCGTCTCACTGAAGGCATACAAGGATTTCGTACGTGTGGATCTTGACTTGAGAGAACGACGCCACTACGAAGGAGCCATCGGTCTACTGGGGCAATACCCTGGCGGTGAGAGAGTAGCACGAGATCGAATTACGCCAATATCTGACGTCAATCTTTATGGCCAAGAGTGGCAAGTCCAACGCAAAGAACCTCAGCTATTCCATTCTTACCAGGGAAAGGTTCGTGCCCCGCAAAAGTGCATGCTCCCAACTGCCACCCAAGATGCTCGTCTCCGTGGTCGACGGCTAGAAGAGTCAAGTGTAAACGAAGGCGAAGCGAAGCAGGTGTGCGGCCATTTGGACAACGCAGACGACCACAAGGCTTGTATTGCCGACGTCCTAGCAACTGGAGACGTGAACATGGCTTTAGAGTTTGATTGAGGCAGTCCCCTGTGCGGCTAGTACCCAGAGTGCGTTCCTTCGCACAGAGCGGCAGTTGCCGAAAAGGGAGGCCGTGTTACAACAGCGCCGCAGAATGCACCGTAAGTTGAAAATGCAGCCGTTTCGTTGATCCGCTTTGGTTTGCACAGTTCTCTTGGCCTAACCAACACTCCCAGCTTGCTACCAGTATGCAATCAATGGTGACTTTGGTCGATTGACTCTATCGACTATGTCAGACTCGTCAGCCCATTCTTCATCGGGTTCCCTACCGGTAATGGAAGCAATGCCATCCAGATGTCCAATGGATTCTGACTCGTGCGCGGTTGGTAGCTCCACGCATTCTATTTGTCTCTCTGCCATGGTATGATACAGATTTGCATTGGTATCTGTACCGTTAGCCCTACCGGTATGAGCCACTCTGTGAACACTTCTTGCCCCAAAACTGGAATGGGGCGTCGAATGAGAATCTTGCGATAGAAGGTGGGACAAGTGGGGTCCGCCTGTCTCCACTCTTTCGCCTTGACTCTGCTACTGACTTGGTTTGACCCTGCGTGCAAACGGTGCCGCAGCGTGGAAATCTCCTGTAGCCCCCCTAAGCTGAAGTAGCTACGGGTGCTAGACCGGCTGTAGCTAGCTAGACCCCCTAATACAGTAGACGTTGGAGATTCTCCGTATGTCCGTAGCTGTAGTTGCCAGTCTTCTGTTGGATCCTGCCGCCCCCCCCCCCCGGCGCTTTCCGCGCTTCCGAATCGAATCGAATCGATCTAAAAGATGCAAGGGAGCTACTAGCTAGCTAGTACTAGTATCTTAGAAGGGACCACAAATAAATCAGAAGAGGGCCATTGTTTCCCAGCAATACACTCGAGCTCTCGTCACCTCCAACGGCTTTGTCATCTCCCGAAGAAAAATGGGCCGCTGCCAACTACATGTATAAAATTGAGTCTCATTCCAAACAACCAACTGGGCCATGAATACTAATACTGCTACAAATGATGAAGGTACTCCCGAGTCTCCTCTTCAGTTGCTTGACGATGAACTCTGGCTTGCCCAGATTCTATCGTTTGTTGGTGTTGGACAGTATGCTTTTGTAGGAGCTGTCAACATAGAGATGAATAAACTGTACATAGAGTACTCCAAAATTGAACTCGAGAAAAACCCAAGAATTGTAAAGGATAGCCCGGATTGGCGTGGCGACAGTCGCTCTGCAGAAATCACCGACACTCTTTACAGCGAAACATTCTGTAACCAGCCACGGGCAGAATACTGGCTCAGGGACAATTCCAGAAATAGGAAACCTGATTGTGATCATGTTTGCACTGCAATTGCAAAAATTGGGAAACTTCCTGTCATGAAATGGGCGCGCCAACAAGGATTCAATTGGAGTATACAGCCATCAGATGGAGAGACATACGGAGAGACATGTGCTAGAGCTGCTGAAAATGGCCAGCTGGAAATGCTCCAATGGTTAAGAGAGAATGGTTGTCCATGGGATGAGCGGACATGTACCTATGCTGCTTTTATTGGACATGTGGAAATTTTAAAGTGGGCTCGTGAAAATGGGTGTCCGTGGAATGAAAATACGTGCTCAAGTGCTGCTCGACAAGGTAATTTGGAAATTTTAACGTGGGCTCATCAAAATGGGTGTCCGTGGAATGAAAATACATGCTCAGGTGCTGCTCGACAAGGCCATTTGGAGATTTTGAAGTGGGCCCGTCAAAATGGTTCTGCATGGGATGAGCAGACATGTGCCTCTGCTGCTGAAAATGGACATTTGGAAGTTCTAAAGTGGGCTCGTGAAAATGGTTGTCCATGGGATGAACAGACATGTGGAGAAGCTGCTGCTGGTGGACATTTGGAAATTTTGAAGTGGGCTCGTGAGAATGGTTGTCCATGGAATGCATGTACATGCTGGTATGCTGCTCAACATGGACATTTGGAAATTCTAAAGTGGGCTCGTGAAAATGGCTGTCTGTGGGATGAACGGACATGCTGGCATGCCGCTCGCCAAGGCCATTTGGAAATTTTAAAGTGGGCTCATGAAAATGGTTGTCCATGGGGTGAGCGGACATGTAGCTTTGCTGCTAAAAGTGGGCATTTGGAGATTTTGGAGTGGGCTCGTGAAAATGGTTGTCCATGGGATGAGCGGACATGTACCGCTGCCGCTCAACAAGGCAATTTGGGAATGTTACAGTGGGCTCGTGAATATGGTTGTCCATGGAATGCAGATACATGCTGCATTGCTGCTGAGAATGGTCAATTGGAAATTATAAAGTGGGCTCATGAAAGTGGTTGTCCATGGGATGAATGGACATGTGCCAAAGCTGCTAATAATGGGCATTTGGAAGTTATACAGTGGGCTCGCGAAAATGACTGTCCATGGAATGAAGGGACATGCTCTGGTGCTGCTCGACAAGGCAATTTGGAAATTTTACAATGGGCTCGTGACAATGGTTGTCCATGGAATGCAGATACATGCTGCATTGCTGCCGAGAATGGTCAATTGGAAATTTTGAAGTGGGCTCATGCGAATGGCTGTCCATGGAGTGCAGATACATGCTGGTCTGCTGCTGGAAATGGACATTCGGAAGTTCTAAAGTGGGCTCATAAAAACGGTTGTCCATGGGACGAACAGACATGTGAAGAAGCTGCTGCAGGTGGACATTTAGAAACTTTAGAGTGGGCTCGTGAGAATGGGTGTCCATGGAATGAAGGGACATATCAAACTGCCCGCATGTTTAACCAAATGGAGGTGATCCAGTGGCTACGTGACAATGACTGCCCAGGATCTCTTGATGAAGGACACTAACCGAATTGATGGTACGGTTAGAAATTGCATTCAAATATCTAGACTGTGTTGCCCTACGGGGTACAGTAGGGCACTTTTTCGTGAATCCTTCGTCTATGCCCCATCTTTTCTGCCCCATGTTCTTGCTCTGTCTCCGTGTGGGGCTACATTGGAATCAAATCAATCATCTCCTGCAGTGTTTGCTTTAAAGCCAGCCGTAGTCAGCCACCCAGGAATCTAGATGCCACCAGCACTCCGGATGTGGAGGTGTCTGCAGGCATGCATGAATGATAGCAGAGATCAAGTAAAAAGGGCTCGCATGCAGTAATCAGGCGGAAGGGCATCTTGAATAGGAGCTTCCAACCAAGACGCCCTCAAACGTATCATTCTCCACCAAACCAATGCAACATGGCGATGGGACTATTTTGTCCTAACTAGCTAGCTGCTTGATATGATATCTATATCATCGAGCAACTTTTCGATGGTTAGTGGCATTGCACGGCATGCCTAGCTATAGCAATGCCGGTCTTGTTTGCCCCTTTTCAAAACTCGCGCTACATGGACCAGTTATGGTTGTTGTTGTTGTTGCTGTTCGTGTTGGAGCCTGTCTGCAGCGATGCGCCAGAAAAGAACCGGTCGGGATCATCAGGTGCATTCGTTCCTCCTCCACTGGCCAGGCCCCGTTCTCCATGATAGGACTCGTCAAAGATGGATGGTTCGAGCTGTTCAAAAACGAAATCATCGGGGTTGTCGGGTGCGTTGACACCAAACCTCGGTCCCGGAGCTGCAACTGGATCGTAATAGGTGGGTTGTAGCGTTGTTGTATCATCATCTACAAACATCATGGGTTCATTGGATGTGGCGGTGGTGTATTGATTGCTGCTCGAGTGTTGTTGTAGAGGTTTTGCATCCCCATGGACAACCGTAGGGTCGATGGTATCGTAGTCCATAGTCATTCGATCCAATCGTTCGGCTCCGTACCGTGCATCATGTGAGGAATATTGGGAAGCCGAGGGCTGCTGCTGTTGCTGCTGCTGCTGCTGCTGCTGTTGTTGTCGTCGTCGTGGTTGCTTTGCTCCAACATATTCCACTCGTATTGTTTTTGGAATCGCAAAGGGATCCTCCTCATATCTCAGGTTTATGTGATCAATGAGCTCATCCATAAGCACCTCTGCAACGCTGCTGGTGGCATGAGCATTATTTCCATTGGATCCTATTTGGGACCAGTCCAAGATGGGTTCCATGGGGACAGCCGTTGTGTCATGGTGTTTCATCTCGTCGTCAATGAAAAGGTTAGTATTGCTGTTCTTGTCACAAGAAGAACCCCACCCCCAACCATCACCACCAGTACGGATCACATGCGCATCATCCAACACAACAGCTGGGGGTTCCGCATAAGAAGAAGAAGCACCCTCGATGATGCTATCCGTGCTGGCTGCTGCTTGCACAGAGAAGTCGTCACCCCACCCCCATCCAGCCACCGGAGGCTGTTGAGAATTCTTGGTTGGAAATCCCTCATCACTGTGTGTATTGGTTGGAAATTCGTCATCGCGGTGTGCATTGGTTGCATACACAAACTGACTGTCACTCGCATCATCATCATCATCATCATCATCAAAGCCAGTAGTAGTGGTCGTGGTGGTCGTAGCTGCGTCCACACTGGGTTGTGTATTCTTGGTTGGAAATCCATGATCACTGTGTGTATTGGTTGCATATACGTCATTACTTGAATCATCATAGTCTGAGCCAATGGTAGTGCATGTAGTTACTTCCACACTGGGTTGTGCCTTCGTGGTTGGAAACCTCTCATCATTCTGTTGTGCATTGGTTGGAAATCCCTCATCGCGCTGTGTATCGGTGGTGACAAACTCCGTAGTGGTCGGAGCTTCCTCATCACTACTAATGCTCGGACATGTATGATCATCCGGAACAGTAGTTGTTGTTGTAGTACAGGCATCGACAATGGGCAAATCACTTTTTTGTCTTGGAGCCGTGTCATCCGTCTTTTTGGTACTGGGAGATGGAGATGGAGACGTGGTGGTGCCGGTTGCTGTCAGTGGATTGTTGTTGTTATGAGTAGTTGATGAGGTTGGTTGTGCCTTGTCCGCCGCCAATTGCAGATATCCCAAATCTTCGTAGGCTCCCGCATTGATGACATTTCGATATCCCATATCATCTAGTATTTCCTTGGCTTTGGCCGCTCTCATGCCAGAGGAACAGTGCACAATAATGGGGACTGTTTGTGTACATGACAATGTAGAAAGACAGTACAAAGAAAGAGCGAAAGTTAGAATCCACCAAAGACTCATCAGACGAAGCAATGTCGAGACTTATTGAAAGACGGAACGTACCATTTGGATCTGGAAACATGACATGCGCCGCTCCTCGTAAGGAAGGACATTCCATGGGCGTACAGCTGGTTTGCAGCCAGGGTCGTCCATGCGTCTGAATGATGCCTTGCGTGTCAATTTCGGGTTGCGATCGTACATCCAGAATCACAGCGTTGGGCGACGCAAAGGTTGCCAACACTTTGTCCGTCGTGGCAATATGAGCTGGTGTCATGTGCAGCTGTATAGCAGGAGAGTGTCGTGAAGGAGGAGAACATCTCGTGGTGAAAGTTGGTAGGATAAAGGAGGATGGGGAATCATGGTATTTCACGGGGACAAATGCTTGGCACATGTCTGTCCGCAACAATAAGGCTGCCAGTGGTACAAAGATCGTGATCCACATTTTGAGATTGAAGTCATCACTGGTTCTGCCGCTGCTGCTGTGGGATATTCTCATCATATCGTCTTATTGATCAAGTGACGATAGAAAATGTGTTGAGAAATGCTTCCAGCTGGCAGAGAGTGATGGCCACGATAGAACAGGACACGGAACCACAGTTTTTGGAAGTTCAGAATTGAGAGATTGAGAGCGCTCTTTGCTTATTCGTTCTTTGGGATGAAGTCTCCGCTGGGTAGCTAAGTAACCAACTAGCTCTCAATTGTATCTCTTGCAAGGATTGGCAATGCTGCTTACTGTATCAACTCCATGGCCTTGTCCACTTTTGCAAAGAATGGGAATGATATCATTCTCAAATCCATTCCTTGTTTGGTTGATGTCAACCAAAAACGAACGCACACTGGTTCTTGTTCCTTCATCAAAGCAGATCTCTCTTTCGAATTCGAAAGCCGTCAAAGCTGTGTAGGTACAGAACAGTTTAACTTCATTAAACTACACAATGAGCACGCTGCCAAATCTTCTGGGGAAAAGGGTCATCGTGCTATCTCACCCATCACAATCTTGAATCGTACGCATACTTACCTTAGACACTCACGCAGCTGTTCAATCAGGGCTGTGGGGCTGCAGTGGAGCTGGTCAATACACGCATGAAATACTGTGGACTGTACGTGATGCTGTAGCACTTGGGGTTCAGCTCCAAGTCTGTCTATAATTTTTGACAAGGTGTGATGGCGCTTGCGCCTCATGCCGCCCCCTTACCAAACCAAACAACCCCCCAAAACAAATAAATCCTTTATTGGGTTTTTTGTTTTACTCCCCCCCCCACACACACACAACCAACCCTTGTTGTGGTGATGGATCCATCCCCGCTCTACTCATGAATGGTGGTCCTTTCATACCATGCCGTCGTGGTGCGCCGTGTGGTTTGCACTCAATGTTCATTCACAATGGGATGGATCTAACGTAGTATGGGTTTTCTGTGGTGGATTCGATTCATGCAAAATAGAGTCGACTCACTTGGTTTGCCTGGAAGGAACGAGTGCGGGTCTTGCTAGCTAGTGCCAGTACTTCTTGCTATGATTGCGCAGACCAATCACACCAGAAAAAATTGGATTAGATTGATACTACCGGCTGGATGTTGACCTGGCTGGAGTGGTACCGGTACCGGTACGTATGTACAAGTACGGTAGCTGCTGCCCAACTTATTGGAGAGACTTTGCATGAATGAATTTGAAAGACTGCGTCAACTCCAGGAAAATACCGGTACGCAGCACCGGTAGTACGAAGCAAGCAGCCACACGGACAAAAAGAAGTGCAGACTTTTCATGTAATTGAAGACTGGTGTAGATGTTGCGGACTTATTTACCCCCAAGTACTTGTAGTATGGTATTATGCTTTTGGAGTTTCATCAGTACAAGTACAGTGTAGTTGCTCTCCAACGCAAACGTCTTCTCCGGAACCCAGTTCCAATGATGCATGCCGTGTGTTTGGCTGTAAGCCACTGAAGTGCCCCCTCTTTCCGCGACTAGCAAAGCAACTTTATTAAGGATCAATCTTGCATGCTTCTGACAACAAGACCCACGAACGAGCACAGACACAGAACCGCGCACAGCCCATCGAAGAAAGCGCAATCAATGGTCACGTTATCAGAAACCCAACACCAGCAGCTTTTACGACTTTGCAAATAATCTGTCATCCCTCCCCACAATTCAAACCAACTGATTGACCAAGCAAGCATCCCAATCAAGAAGCAACTACTTTTCCAATCTATCATGACGGGCAAAAAGAAGCTTGTAGAAGACGACATGGAGGCCGACGAGAGTCTGTTGGGTCCCTTTCGCGAGAAATTGAAAGCACTGCCTCCTGTAGACTATGATGCTGAGGAAATTACGGCCTTGGCGGGCAGCGACGCGGACATGGCACGGTTCTTGATTGCTCGGAACAACAACCTCGAAAAAGCATTTGCCATGGCCAAGGGGACATTGGCATGGCGATCTCGCTTCCATCCTGCCGCTTTGACAGTACAAGATTTTGCCACGGCCCATGGCCAAGATGTGTGGCGGTTTGCTGGCACGACCAAAAATGGATGGAATGTGTTGCACGTGACGGCGGCTCATTGGAAATCCTTTTCCTATGGTGTGGACGAATACGTCAAGATGGTGTCGTATCATGTGGAACGGAGTACTACCAAGAATTTCATTATTTTTGACATGTACCGCATGGCCTACTTTATTGACATGCGCAAGTTGCGGGCATTGGCGTACATTTTGGCCGACTATTATCCGGAACGATTGGGATGTGCCGTCTTTGTCAATTGCGATTGGATCTTTGACAAATTCTTCAACATTGCCATTCGATGGGTCGATCAACGAACTGCCAACAAGTGTATTGATTTTAGAGACAATGGAGCCGAATTCTTGTTGCAACATATCGATGCAGATCAAGTGACTACCAAGTACGGTGGAACACGACAAGAACCCTGGCCTTTGGAACCATTGGAAACAGCTACCGATGACAAGTAAAAACAAAATGACACAACCTACCTAGAGCTGAGAAGAAAGCATATTTTGAAAGCACACAGCACAATTCGCCAGTTCATCACAACACGCCGAAAGAGAAACCACAAAAGCCCTGCCTGGCAATCACCTTTGTTGTTGTTGCATGTTGTTGTATCGATCTGTCTGACTGACTGACTGTGCCAATGAACAAGCAATGCATACCAAAAGATACGTGCATGACTTTGTTTTTTATTAAAATAAAAAGATGTATTCTATTTGAAAGAGAGCCACGTATTACTTTATAGGCTGTGTTATTGCGAGAACGTTTAGCCTCCAGCTGAATTGACTGACAAGCTGATCCTGGTTTTGTCACGCCCGTTTTCCACAGCATGCATCCATCCATGCATGGCTGCATGGGCAGACAAATCATTCTTCAGCCACTCAGTTATGCTCTTCGTTTCTAGATTTCTAGCTAGCTGGCCTTGTCTCCACTTGACCCGGCCGACTAATGGGCCCGGGCCTTTCTTCCGGTCCAGGGCTAGCTAGCCATAGATAGATCAGATCAGAACATCTTTTTTATTTCGTCTCCCGGAGACGATTTGCTTTTAGGGGTAAGGGTACTGATGGGGAGTGGAGGTTTGAATTATACCCCGCGTGCATTACTTAGAGGCCTCTGTAGAAGTCTACGTATTCGACTAGTATTGTATTGACGGGATACAGTCAACGCATGTACATGCACATGAAAGTCGCCTTGCGTTCTTCACATTTTTCGCATGAATGAGGGATCCGTTTCGGGGCGAAGCAGAGAAAGGGATGAGCGCGCGGAGCGCGCGAATACCGGTACTGTTTCAATAAAGCGAGTTAGGTGTTGGTAATAAAAGATTTATGGAAACGGAGACGAGCCAGGAGGCATATGAATCTTGTGTTTTCACACCAGATGTGCCCCCCCCTCCATGAATCTCCAATCCCCGTATCTTCTCTCTTCAGAGAGATTAGAGGAGAAACACAAAAGAGCTGATTATTAAGAGGTTACTATGGCTGAGAGTGGATGCCAGGGGTGGAGTGCAGCAGGGCAGGAGGAGGAAAGCAAAAGAGTTGAGCGTGCCATCAAGTTGAGCTCAGATCAACGGATGTCACTCATCAGGAAGGCACCAGGTTTTACCCTCTTCGCCAAAAAAGTCGCGGTAAAAGTCGCGGTATAGTCGTGCGCGACTTTCAGTTCGAACCAAATAGTCGCGATATAGTCGCGGTAAAGTCGCGGTAAAATACTAGTTATTTACAAGAAAAGTCGTCCTAAAGTCGTTCTAAAGTCGCGAAAGTTGTTCTAGTCGCGGTGAAAAGTCGCGATAAAGTCGCGGTGCGCGACTTTAGAACGACTTTCGCGACTTTAGAACGACTATTGACTATTGAGAGAACCTGGTGCCTTCCAGGGTTAGCGTATGGTACCGGTTCTGGTAAAAAATGGCCTCGTTTTCGGACATTGAGTCTTGGGTCCTCTAAACAATGTTGGCCACTTTTCGTAAATTTGTCGAGCACCTCTCATTTTTTCGTCCGCTCTCGGATCATCACCCTCTTCCTTCCAAAGGCAACATCAAAACCCGTCGTGCTTGTGCAAGAACACATAGGAAGAGGATGAGAGTCACTGCTGTGTTTCTGCTCTTGTTTTTGACCCCACTGGTTGCAGGGGGTGCCTGCACTGGGGATGGACAGCCTTGCGAAACGGTGATCGAGGCTGTGACATGCACAGAGGTGGATTCCACCGATGCATCCTGCACTGCCGCCACCAGGACCTGTGAGACTGTCTGCGAGAGAGTGAACACTCCTGGTTACGACTCTCCATGTTGGTGTAATACCGAGTTCAAGGGATGCACGGGTGCGAACTGTGACTATGAAGTTTCTTGTGTTGGTGAAACAACTACTGTCAACTGTGGCGATTTTGACAATGCCATCCACTGCTCTGTGACCCGCGGCTGTAAATGGGACGAATCTCCGTTGGTGACCCCACAACCACCACTGACACACCACCTGCGACCTCGGTCACAAACACAAGTACGGATGACTACAAGACGTACTTGGTAGATCATGGTGTCTCGAATGCAGAGGATTTCCTAGATGAAGAGTATCCTCAATCCAGAGCCCTGCAATTCATTGCAATAGACGATGGCCTCAACTTGCAAGTCCCAGATGGTGACCTGGATACCCCAGAGGGCTATGAATTTGTCAGTCGATATGCCTTTGCCGTGCTCTACTACGCCACAAATGGACCAAAATATTGGATATATCAACTCAATTTCTTGTCTCCCACCTCGGCATGTTATTGGTATTCAATTTTCCAATATATAGACACATCGACAGAATTGAGAGGAGTGTTTTGTGATCAGACTAGTGGTGATCCTGTCGCTCTGTTTCTTAGTAAGGTTATAAGTGTGAACGAACGGTGGCTTGTTTTGGTTTCGTCTAATCTAACAACCTTTTCCACCCCACTGACAGCCCAGCAGACTTTGAAAGGAACACTTCCAGCTGAACTTGCTTTTGTGACCACTCTGACAAACATAGACCTGGACTATAATCGTATCGGAGGTTCTATTCCAGAATCCTATCAAGGGCTCACGAGTTTGATCAATGTCTTTGCAGGTAACAACAACCTTGTAGGAACTTTCCCAGCATGATTGCAGACCTTGAAGGATTGAAGAATATCAACTTGTCTACAAACTACATGACTGGGTCTTTGCCCACTTCCCTTGGTGAGCTGGAGAACATTGAAGGGCTGGCACTTGATAACAACCTGTTCTTTGGGAACATTCAAGATGCCTTTGATACCTCGAACAGAGCTGGACTAGGCAAACTCCAACAGTTCTACATTGAAAACAATCAATTCACTGGTGTTCTTGGCCCCAATTTCATGATGAACTTGACAAATTTGCAGTTCTTGGATGTATCAGACAATTATTTCAATGGTGCAGTTGATGATTATCTATTTGAACTACCTCTGTTACCTTCACGACAATCAATTGACACTCTTCCTGATCAGCTCCCGGACAATGAGAATTTGACTCTCTTGGCATTACAAAAGTGCAACTTCTCCGGCCAGCCCATTCCACCTTCCATTACCAACCTTAGTGCCCTCAAGCACCTGGATCTATCCCAGAACAAGCTGACGGGTGAAATCACATCAAGCATTGGCAACATGCCAAATCTATCTTATCTATTCTTGGCTCAAAATAACTTTGTGCGCAATGGCATTCCATCCTGGATTGAAGACCTGACAAACTTGGAAGAGCTCTCTTTAAAGTCAACCCAACGGACTGGGAACATTCCAAGCTGCCTTGGAAGCTTGACGGATCTTGTTCTGCTGGATCTCGACAACAACAATCTTGTGGGCAATATACCTCCTCAGCTAGGAAATCTAGAGGACTTGCAGCTTTTGATGCTGAACAGAAACAATCTCACAAGTGTGATCCCTCACTCTTTTTCCAATTTGACGAACCTGAGTGAGTGGTAACGATCTTCATGATGCCGCTGTGGAACAGAAAATGGACACAACACCCTTCTCACCCTGTCCATCAACACCAATCCCGTGTGTCTGCCAGCTGTATTGTTTTTGGATGCTAACAATGACATCCAAGGAGACCTTGACGAACTGTTCTGTTCAAATCCACCTTTTGAGTCGTCGTCCGGGCCTGTGATTGTAGCATCTTGCGATATATGTGATAATGCTTCCATGAACTGTTGCACTTTGTGCTGTGAGGGAACATCAGAGTGTAACCCAGGAATCCATGTGCCCGGTAAGAATCCTTGTCTGCTCTTCAAGTTCATCTTTTGGTTGTATCACCTCCCAGGCAAGTTCTCCTTACGTTATGGCTGCCCGAAACTGCCTTGCATTCGCATGTAACCTCTCCAGATCTTGATCCGATTTGGCAGCTGGCTTACAACAGGGAGTTCTTTTCTTACAACAGAGAGGACTTTTTGAACAAAGATAGGGACACAACCGCGGCGGCAGATGCATCAAAAACTGCAGACTGGATACCTTGATCCAGCTCTGTATCAAAAGGACGTACATTATCGACTCGACTCTATCCTACCGGTTGGCATAATCTTACTACTAATAGTAGGCAAACGAAGCTCTACAAGGGTCCAGGTGGGATGCGAGCCAGGTCTTCAAACATTCCAGATGTTGCAACATCGTTTTTGCAAAACCACCAAAATGTAGCGGGATCATCGTACTGATACAAATAAATAAATATCGTACTGATACTGGTTTTGGCAGCATCTTAGGTGGACGACGGCTCCGCATTTTATCCGACCGGTGAGAAGGAGTCTAGATAGATCCAGTTTCGGGTCACGAGCTATCTTTGTATGTACGAGGCAAGGACTGTGCGGCCAAGTTGCGAATCTCGCATCGATAACCTGCTGCTACTGTGTGTGTTTTCCGATTGAAGCAGCAGTCCGGGATATCTTCGTGCGTCCAGTTTTGACTGCCCTGGCTGACGGCGTTTCCATGAAGGAGTTCATCGAATCTCACAGAGCAAGAATGGCCGCTCCGAGCACGGGAATTGTACCGTACTGATGCCGAGAAACGAGTCGAGTCGACTGGCTTCACAGCGGACTTGACAGCGGCAACGAGTCGTGTAGTCAGCCTTTGTAGATGAAACCGTAGAAAAAGAAGCCAACAAGGGATGTACCGGTGATCCTGCAGGGGAGTTTCATGTTTTGCGATTGCCACCGTGCTGTCTCTTCGTCGTTTTGAATAGCTTTGCCGCTGTGATCGCTACCATCCAACTCATGGCTTGCTCGTCAAAACGGAGCCGCCATGAACTCCTCTTCCTGGCCTTTTGTACATGAAAAGGTCTCTGCATGGTTGTTTTCTAGAGATGATACATGTAGGGAACAGACAATAGTGCGGCTGTTTCAAGGCTTCCAAGTAGAGCGTACGGTATTACCGGTCTAGGAAAAGCTGTTCAGAAGGTACGATACTGTACGGTGCGGTAAAAAAGTTCATCCTCACTCGCAGGGATTTGAACGGCACCTTGGTTCAAATCCCTGCGAGTGATGGTTTAACTCAAATCCCTCGGACCGCACCCCCCTGAACGCGAAAATTAGAGGAAGCCATTGTAGAAGATGAAGCCAAGAAGGGATCTTCCGGTGATCCTGCGGTCGCATCCTCTTTCTGGCCCCTTGCTGAGATGCTTTATGTGCGCCTCGAAGAAGGAAGCTGCTCGATCACCCACCAAACTCAACTCCTGCGTCGTGACTCGACTCGACTCCACTCACTCTTCCTCGTGCGTGACATCCGTCGGCAGCATTTTGTCAAGGACGAGATCATTCTTTGCAATTTTCCCAACGACACAAAACCGTCTTGGTCACTCGCGACTTTGTCTCTGCAGTGGTTCATCCCTGTTGTCCAACTCACAGTTTGTCATGGAGCCCCCTCCCACTCCTCTCTCTGTCCTTTTGCAGGCTGCTGGAGGAGAGCAGTACATGGTGTACGGAGATGCTCTCAAGAGTGATGCGATTGATGATGGTGAGACCTTTTTGGAGTTTGACACTCCAACATTGAAGAAGGATTTTGGCATCAAACTTGGTCATGTCAAGAAAATCAAGAGAGCCGCTAGGCAAGAAATCCAGTCTGGACCAAGCAAGGTTCCTCGACTTCCTCCGGCGCAAGCAGCGGCGGTCCCATCTCTGGCGACGGTCCCATCTTTGGCGACGAAAGTGCTTTTTCCTCGGCTTTCTCCGACGCAAGCAGCGACGGTCCCATCTCTCACGACAACAGCACTTCTCCCTTTGACACAAGCACCTGCAGTCGCCTCCGTCGCGACGGAAACGCTTCCTCCTCCGACACGAGAAAATGCACTCTCCTCCGTCGCGACACCCACAGTCGCCTCCAGCGCGACAGCAGCACTTCCTCCTCCGACACAAGATGATCAATTCATCATGAAGGCAGACTTGGAGAAAATCGTGATGTCTGTTACGACTATTGGTGCTGCTATGGCTACTTTGATGGAGAACCAGAAACCCAAGGAGCTCAAAGAGATTGACAGAAAAGTGGCTGGAAAATTCAAGGAAATCCACCAACAGATTGCTATTGAATCTCAGAAGACCCTCTGTGCTGGGACACTGGAAAAGTACCATGAGGTCAAGAATTTCTATGAGACCTCACTTCATGGCAACTGGACAGATGATGCACCAGACACCATTGCCGAAACCTTCCTTACTTGGTGTTTGAGAGACGCAAGGGATTTGAAAGCTTCCACAAAACGAGCCAAGCTACACGCAGTCAAATGCCTCCTCCAGCAGGAAAACCGGAGTCTATCCAATGAAGGTGCCAAGACGATGCAAGATGCAATCCGACTCTTTCGGAAATTGGAAACTCGTGACCAGAACGGACGGCAAGATGTCATTGACAACCTGCATGAGCTCGATACTGCGACATACAATTTTGTGGTGCAGACTTGTCCCAGCAGTCGTGCCCTGCCAAAAGAAGCTTCATTTCCTGCTTCGTCTTCATCGAAGAAAGCCTCCACGAAATTCCCTTGTCCTCACACCGACTGCGACCATGGATACAAGCACAAGCGAAGTCTCACTCAACATTTGCGAATGGTGCACTCCAAGGAGCTCTCTACCGGCACTACTGGCATTGCAACGGCAGACAATTGCAGCAGTTCGGAGGCTGCCAAGGCAACAGCAGAGGCAACCAAGTCCACGAAGCCCGTGAGTCGTAGCAGTTCGAAGGCCGCGAAACGAATCTGCTACAGCGATGATGATGATGATGATGATGATAGCGTCCATACTGCCCAGCGGGAATGAAGGATCGAGGATGAATCTGGCGCCATGGCGATTGTGGATGACATGACTGATGAATCGAAGAAAGTCCTGCTTTGACCAGAGCCAAGAAGAGGCAAGCAGAAAAACTCGAACACAGGCGGGCTAAGTGCAGTACCGGTACGGTAGGCACTTACATGCAGTTACGGTTGTGTGCGTGAAGAATGACAAATTAACTTGACCGAAACAAAAAATCACCTATGGTACCTAGCTAGTAGAAAAGGATAATCGGTATCTGGTTTGGAACCAGTTCAGCTTTATTTAGTGCCTCAAAGTGAAATGGTTAGAGTTCTTTGAGGGTTGGTTGGCATTCTTGTTGCTAACTGTTGCGAGGCTCGCGAGTCTTTGACATACCCTCTAGCTAGCTAGTAGAGGGTTTGCTGAGCGCTTTGAGGCATGCATAAAATTACCTCGGCAGTCTATCTGCCTGAGCCCTCACCCCCTTTTTTGGTATTTCCTGTTTCCTGCTTCCTGTTTAATTCCTGTTTCCTGTTTCCTGTTCCGGTGAAGCCAAAATATAGGGATAGAGATAGGCACAAGCCAACTCTACAAATTTAGGGGTACAGTCGTAGGAATAAATCATGATTATTCAAGGTTAGTGCACTCAACACAATAAGCCAGCAGAAGCTAGAAAAATTACAGGTACGTACGGGCGTGACAGCTGTAAAATTATGGTTAGCGGGCGGCAACACACGACGAAGTCGGGTGTTGTCGCCAGGGCTAGCTTACATAAAAAAGAAGGTTATAATGAAGGAATGATACCGGGCGGCAACACACGACGAAGTCGGGTGTTGTCGCCAGGGCTACTTTGAAAGAAGGGTGAAATCTCAAACATGTCATCATTCTTCTATCTGTCTTTCTGCCGAGGTATCGCAGCTCCCGCTGACTTATTGTGTGGTTATTAGTTTACAGTTGTTCGGGAAGAACTGCAGGATCCACAGAATCCCAAAAATTCCCCAGGTAGATGGGGTTTAAAATAAGCTCGAAAAATTAAAAATTTACCCAAAACGTTGCATTCGATGGGATTTGAACCCACGAGTACGAATACATTCGAACTTGAGTCGAACCCCTTAGACCGCTCGGGCACGAATGCTTTGATATCTGTGCTGAGAAGACATTAGGATTAAGCCAATAGAAACCTTACCCAGAATTTTACACAACGCCAAACTATTTCCATTTTTTGATGTCTGGTTAGGCAAGCCAGTCTGGAGTAGTCTTGTTGATTCCAAGGAGGCTATGGGCGGACTAGTGTCTATTCACCAGGATATGAAAGCCAGCAGTGATCAACTCGGGATAGGACTACGAGGCATTAAGAGGGACGAACTGTGGGCCTATAACCCAGGGCGTTGATGCTTCATAGTTGGGAACCTATCGGGCCCAGATGACTGCCTCTAAGAGTAATGCAGACTGAAAATCGTTTTGGAGTAGGAGTGCCAAGTCTATAGTTGACCCTGGCATCTGGAAGTTATGGCAAAGGGCTGGTTGGAATAGTTGGTTGAGAGAATCAAATGAAGATGCAAGAAGGGGTGGGGCATACGATAGGAACAAAAAATTGACATGCTTGTTAGGAGGATTTGAGCTAGTAGTAGGCCATATACGTAGGCTGGGGTAGTTAGTGGCTGGCAACCGTACTGGGAGACTGAATACAAGAGAATGCAAAAGGTGGACCTACTTCCGACCGAATCAAATGCAAGATGCAATGCCTCAAAGATCATCCAGTGAGTTGTTTCACAATGACAGCGCAAAAGTGTCTTTTTCATGCGGCGTGACCAGTCCTGAGCATTGGGAAGCTGTTTAGTGGCCCTTGATGGTCAACCCCGCACATCAATTCAGTAGATTGCCATACAGAGGGATTTGCAGAAGAACCGAAGAACCTACTAGTAGATCCTCACTGCCTATGAATAGAGGAGGCCTAGCTAGGGATCCAACGTGGTAAATGAATGCATTTATTTTAACTAAAGGTGGCGAAGTAGGCCGTATGCCAGGGCAGAGTATCTCTCCTGTTGGTGCTGGTCAAGAATCCGGGTCAGAGGCGGATCTCTCTGCGCTCACGCCTCCCTGGTTTGTTCCCATCATGATTGGGCTCGGGCGAGAAGAACGTCCACCAAGCTGGCTCCACTTTCTCATCTGTTGGGATTGGGATTGACACTCGTTTTTGAGCTCGGGAATTACGATACAGGCTGCACAGCAGAAACTAGACACGAAGGTAGTTAGATCCTTCGCTACCACAAGGACGTACGACAGATTATCCAGGGGTGGTTAAGGTGGGGTCACGATTCATGCGGAAGCAGAGTGAACGGAGCTTTTACAATACTGTACAACATCTTGAGGTTCCGATGGCAGGGAGCCCAGAAAAGTTGATTGTATCTTTTGGATGACAAGAAGTAATCGTGGAATTGAAGAGACTTTTTGAATCAACCAGAATAACCTCGATCGCCGAATAACCTGCCGAATACCATCATCAACCACCCCCGACCAGTTGGACAACGTGAATTCAATCCTCCCTTTTACATCGATCGATCGATCGAACCAACTCTCTCATCAGTAGTGTACACGCCCCACCTGTTTTTCCGTATGTATCTGCAAACATGTCTTGGTATTGTACGGACCGTATTTTTCCGTGTCCACCCGCACCGCAGATGATCTTCCACAGATGGGGAACCCGTACAGTTCCTTGCCCATTCCACATGATTTGATCCGCGCTTGACAGTCTTCGTGGGTGCATTCGTAAACGGTTCTCCTCATGCAGATAGTGCACCGTCGGGACGTGCCCGTGCGCATTTTCATGGCGTCATGTTCCTCTCCGGTGGTCGTGTGCCATTCATAATCCTCCAATGGTCGTTTGCGGTTGGGGACATGCTGAGTGCCTGCGGCTACCGCGGCGTATGTCGGGGTTGCTGATTTCGATTCAAAATATATCATTGGCCAGATTAGAATCAAATCAATTACTCGGTTTGAAACTATAAAGAAGCTCAACTAACGTAACGTACCCGTAGCAGGAGACAGGGTGGCACCGTTTGTGGGAGATTGTCCGGAAGCCTGTGCCATCATGGCGGCCTTGTATTGTTCCACACTAAGAGTGCTTTTGCGAGAAGGACGACCGCGCCCCCGTTTTATGGGTGGCTCGGGGAAGCCTGTTGTGGTAGTGGCAGGCATAGGAGCTGGAGCATGAGCCAATTTGGAGGAAGAACAAAAGAACGCGAGGTTGTGTAGAAATCAAGAGAACAGCGGTTAGATACCCAAGAAAATTGTCACTGTAGCAAGCAAAAATTCAAAGAGCCGCAAGGAAGCCAAGCAAAGTAGCATGATTGGCACCAAAAATCCATAGCTCTGGGCTCCCACCTCCCACCAGCACTTGGAACTGTTCCCAAATCAAACTACTAGCTACGGTAGGTAGCCAACAAGGTAAACATACGATAGCCACGTACCAGGAGCAGCGGCATATCTTGGTATTTTTGGTACGGGTGCTACCACCTTGATGGGATCGTCATATACAGCCATGAGCGGGACAAAGGAGTTGGCCGCCAAGGGTGTAGCACAACCCTCCCTGGTAACGGAGGAATGGAAAACTTGAAAACGAGCCGGTGACATGTCTTTGAGCTCGGCGTAATCCTCCTTTACTTTTCTCTTCAAGGCGTCCACATTATGAGGCGTCGGAAACTCGGAGGGTTGTCCAATCTTCTCGCTTCCCACCAGTACTTGCACCCACACGGTCCCACCACGTTTTCCACCATTGGCGGCTGTCTTGTCATTTCCATTCTTGTCCGCGCCTTCCTCAGCTCCTTCGCCTTTCACACCTTCGCCTTTCTCGCCCTCTACGTCGTTCTCAAAGACATCAAATGGCTTGTCAGGATTGACATTCCCGGTAGTAGTGTCGGCGGCTTCTGCCATGGTCGAAGTGTTTGGCATCACCTCGATCGATGCGTTGAAAGGAACGCTACATTCGTGACTCTTCAGTGACATATTCATGACTCAATAATCCATACCGTTTCATACCGTATGAGAGGGAACTTTGCTGCTAGCTAGGTGCAGTAAGAGTAGCTACTGTAGCTACAGTCCTACTGTACCTACCAGGCAACTCGGTACTGCTGCCAGTAGCTACCCGCCTCACCATAGTTCCCTCTGAGCCATCGTAACAACTCCCATGAATACCTGTGGCTACTAGCTAGCTAGAGCATAGCATAGTCAACACAGAAGATGACACTAAACAAACTACAGAAACACGGGAATGTTTACGCATCAATCAATCAATCAACCCAGGCTGAGCAACTCGGACATCATCGACCACTTAGTTGTTCAGTCATTCCCCATACTTTGGTCCAAGGAAAACAGTTTTTCACTTTCCATTCGGACTTTGAGGCCCTTTCGGAAATTCTTGAGTACTCGTTTGGTGGCGGCTTCCGGGGAGGGTAGCATGTAGAATTGGTCCAATCTTCCTCCCGGATATTGACATCCCACCTCGATTTTGGAAGCAATGTCCTTGGGTATCAGCTTTTTCCACATGGATATAAAGACATTGGCTGATGAGAATAAATTAAGAAACAAACCAAAATAAATAGGATGAAAGGGTTTGAGGGCAAGCAAGATTAATGAAAAATCGAAACCAATTTTTGGAAACTCACCCATGACTGGTGTATGATAGAATTTGGTAATGACATTGGAAGGAAAGGCACCAACTGACAAGGAGGTGAAATGTGCAGATTGCGCCAAATCTGCCATGCCCGCTCCATACTGATACCCTTCACACTCCATGATATCCACCTTTCCCTTGCGAACGACCTCTAAGCACGGATGGGTAGCATACATGGCATAGAATCCTCCCTTGACCATAATCTCAATATTTCTGGGATTCTTCCACAGCGATGTTCGATATTTGGTAGAATCCAAGACCATGACGGATGATCCTGTTTGAAGATTGAACGTGTAGGACATCCATACCAGGGGTAGCAGGTCCACCATGGCTTCAATGCTTCGGACACCGTCTTCATAGGTCAAGAGAATGTTGTACTCTTCCCTGACCTCTTGCATCTTGTACGCCCTATCCACGGCCCAATTCACATCTCCCATCATGGATAAGTTGACGTACATGAAGTCCGACAGATTATCCAGATCCGGAAGGCATTCGATGGATTCCTTCACATTTACAGCAGAGTCTCTTTCTGTTGATTAAACACTAGAGAGACTGTTTGGCCATGGTGAGCTATTTTAAAGTCAGTCTAAAAAGAAAAGTGAGGAATCGCTTTTGGTGGTCCAGTCGATTTCGAATTTCAGTCCCGGATACTCATGACTCAACACACTCCTGCCTCCATCCCTAAAAATCGGATGGAGGAGCATATCCCATAATCTGATCACGGAATTTCTTGAAGGCGGCTCCTTGCAATGGCTTCGACATAAAATCTCCTATCATTTTGTCCGTAGGACAATACTCGACCACAAGATTACCCTGTTGTATCTGGTCGGTAAGGAAAAAATAACGAATATTCAAAGCGCGCGTACGACTTGTAGAACTGTCCTTGCCGTTGTTTTCCAATTGAATCGTCGACTTGTTGTCTTGTTTGAGGACGGTATCCATGCGGTAACCCTGAGACTCCATAAACAAGCGTGTCCACAACAGTTGTTGGACGGTATCATCGGCACCAACCAACTCTGCTTCGGTGCTGCTCCGCGTATTGAGCTTCTGCTTCTTCGACATGGTAATAATACCACCTTGTCCAAGAGTAGCAACTGCGCCTGTGTGGGAACGGAAGTCAGGGTGAACAGCAAAAGCTGCATCAACGTACCACTTGATCACATTCAAATTATCGGCAGAAAGGATAAGTTTGTCGTTCCACGTGCTGTCACAATAATGTAGCATACGTAATAAAGCTTCCCAATCGCTTTCAGTCGGAGACTGTACCCTCGTGCAAAGCACGGCGATGGTAGGGTGAATGTCGGGGCGTGCTCGTTTACAGACGAACAACCCCTTGGCAGTAAATGTGTGGTATTCCTCCGCACGTTTCTGGTCCAGTTTTTCACCTGTTGAGGCGTGGAATAGAGTCTCTGCCGCTGGTGATGAAACTGTCACGTCGGGGTCAAACTTGATGGAAAAGTCGTCAACCATTTCCCAACATAATCGGTCATGTCCACGATTAACTTTCCCTGTGAGAAGGATACATTAGTTACCATGTGTAATCGAGTGAATCGGCTCTTCCTCTCCACGCTCTCTCTGTGAGATATCCACAAAGCTTCTTATAACTTGGCATCTACAGCCCGCTTACCCTCAGCATCAGATCCCGTCCCACGACTGTGAAATGCTCTACGATACGTGTGTTAGCTTCCCGTTTAATCATTCCTGTTGTCAGAATACCATGGGTCATTAGGGATCAACAGCTCCGAAATATGATTGTGAGTGGTACTCCTCGCTAATCTTCTCGAAGTTTTTGCCCTCGCCTTAGTTACTCTCATTAAACGGCTTCATCATTAGTTCCCTCACCTTCTGCATCTATGGTATGCCGATGACGCCAATGCTGCCGGCAAATTTACTGATTTACAATTGCTTCTAGACCTTCTTATTCGGCTAGGCAAACAATTGCTCAGCGGCTAGCACTCCTCCTGCTGGTCGGCACATGCGCCAAATTATGATTGCACTTAATTTGTCTGAAGTTAAGAGAACTTTATCATCTGGTCCTACGTTCAGAACATCACACTCAATAGGTGCTGCTATCACGCTATGGCTGCACGATCCTTCACAGATTATCCTTTCCACACGCGCTCGACCTCCGCGTGTATCTTTCGAGTGCTTTTCTTCAACTCTAAACGGTTCTGGAAGTCATCAACTATGGGCATTTCTGTCCAGAGTTTGCACAAATTGCGTTTCGCATCCGTTGGTCAGTCAGCTACGCTCGATCACGCTGACCAGACTCCTCCTGCTATGTGCCCTCCTACCATCTGCTGTCCCGCGAGCGATCTCGCTCTCAAATTTCCACTGCCAACGTGGTACGGCTTGGCGTAGTCTTCCGATATCTCGCTCATCTTTGCTCATTTGTGAGGTACTTCACGTTGTGTTCGAGTTTTCCCACTTAGCCCCACCACTTGTTCGCGCGCTCTCTGGACAGTGATCTCCTGCCAAATCAGTTACTCTCCTCTCTCACGATACAAGAACGAGTACATGCGCGGCACAAATCTTGTTGGCTATTACTTGCTTCGGTGTTTCTGTCGCTCGTCACGCTCCCTGGAATCCGTTCTTGGGGCCAGGATCATCTCGCGACCGCTTGAGGCCAAACGCAAACGCTTTCCTGATCATGGGCAAATTTTGTTCCTAGATATTCTCCTTTCTAGCCGTGCCCCTCCGCTTCTATGGATGAACAATCACTGGATTTCACCGCGAAGAACTTCCTGCTCCCTCTGCCTCCGCAGGCTCTCAACACTATTGTCTCGCTCCGCTACTACCTCCGATAGACCCATAACTTCCGCCTGTGGCCTTGAGGACGTCTTGCGTGCTCCCTCGTTAACTCCACCATACTTAACTGAAGCTCGCTCTCGCTCCATACTCACTTCCGCCTTTACACATATTCGTCCAGTCTCGCTAGCATCAACGGATTACACTTCCTTTTCTTCGGGAAGGACATTATATCTGCTTCGCCTTCCGTGCATATGTCTGCTCCGCTGGCCCCGTTCTTTCATTTTACTGACTGCGCATCTTTTTCCCCCTAGCCCTCTCCACGACCCTGCCTCTCACGCGCCGCTCTCTAATCGCACGCTTTCCCTCGATAGTCACCTGCCCCCTATAGTGATGTGATAGCAGCCAACTAGTGTCTATACGTGAGGTTTTCACGCGTCTCAGACTAGTTGCATGCCGCACTGCAGTCAGCATCGTGATAGAATCTCTAGTTTACGCTCGTATCAGTGGCTCGCTACTGCACATAAGCGCATCACGACGCCTGACGCAAAGCTGGCCTCTCTTTGAAGATAGTCCATCAACCTCTCCAACTGAGTTTGTTCCCTGACGTCTTCTCTGATTCCTTCGGTAATGCCATCATCGCTCGAATCATTGTCAGAATCATCGTCAGAATCATCTTGCTTTGCTTCTTCACCATCGTCACTCTCCTCGTCATCACTGCTATCCGAGTCATCGTCATATGCTTGGTTCGCTCGAGGCAATAGTGCTGGTGGTTGATCTTGGTTGTCAACGACTGGGACTGGACGCGATCCACTAGCAAGTAGATCCGCTAGCTCATTCTGGTCCAATTCTTCCCATTCGTCTTCATCTTCATCGCTTTCGTAGCTTGATTCACTGTCAGAATCGAGTCATTATCAGATTCGTTCCAGTCTTCGTCGTCATCGTCGTTTTCCCCGTCCACTCCTGCGAGCCAACGGCTCGCGTTGAATTTAGAGTCACTTCGATGTTTGATACTTAAGCTCCCGATCTTCTGTTGATCTGCCATTGCGTGCACGCGATCAATGACGCGCTGAGTCATCGGCACTAGCCATGCCCGTGGTCTGGAAATCTCGCGTCCTGAGCGCAAGTCCATAACAACGTGCCCACCCTGAAAATTCCGAGCAGGGCGGAGATAGATGGCATCAATCGTTCGGGGATTCATCGTATTGTCTCCGTCTTGATTCACATTCACGTAAGAACCAAACCCAAACTGGAGTTCTTTGTCATAATCAATATGTCTGCCTGTAATGATGGTGTAGGGGCTCAATTGGTCTGAAATACCAAGCTTGGTCGGGACGATTGTCACCGAATGAGCACCTTCCGTAACCATGTTCCGAAGCATCACACGAGGCATTCTGTTAAAAGGCAAGCGTGCGTAGCAAATGCGCACTCGCTCCTTGATTATTCTGTTGTTTTGCTCCGCGGCATGCACATGTTCATCCGCAGACGCGTAGTTCGTCGTGATTTGCATTTTACCTTTGACAGGATCGAGAATCTTCTCAAACTCCCCATCGCAGGAAACCACCGAGATACGAAATCCTGCCGTATTATAGCTGCGCAAAATCTCATTGAAACCCGCAAGTACAGACTTCTTGCTTCGGTTTTCGATGTGAATGCAGTGCCTGTATCGTACAGACAGGTCGATTCCGGTTAGGAACACTTCCTTGTTCACGAACATCAAATCCATGCAGTATTCCAATTCCTTATGCATGGCCACTAGCGATCGGGGAATCTCTGCCCAATCAACTTTCACTGGGGCAGGACGCTGTCGCGTAACCCTTCCCTTCAGCGCACCCACGTCTTCTCCATACACGAGTACCATATTCCGAACATCCTTCTCAGTAACAGGACAATTCCGAATCACATTATGCTTGATGGCTTCTCGTAGAGTACGAATCGTAGGAGTTCCCATACGAAAATACAGCTGCCGAGCTTTCTCCATGCCGGCACGTTCTCGCTGGGGAATCATCTTCAAATTTTCATCAACAGTCGGAACGGACTTCCCCACTCCTGCAGTTTCGGCAGGGGCCGTCTTCGACTTGACTTGGGCTAATTGGAGTAACGGATCGTCCTCCTTCATCCCTTCTTGTTTCCGCATTGCCGCAACGGCGTCAAGAAACTCTTTCGATACCTGATACATGTACATACCATTCTTCCGTCTTGTGAATTCGACTATCTTCCATGGTGTTTCCACGTAAACGATATCTGCTTTGCGGTTGTCGTACCACATAGGGAACGTGTCGAACAGTTGTTGTCCATCCCACACGCAATTCATCAGGAACGACTTGTGAATAACGGCGGTTTCTGGTAACCCGGGTATATCACCCACTATACTGAACTTTCCAATTCCAACGTTCGTTTTCATGCCAATCGGTGTATCCAATTCCCGAATATTATGGCACATTCTTCCATCCTGCACGGTTGCTGCGGAACGTCGATCCGCATCCACTGCTAGCATTGTTCCTTCGGGTAACTGCGAGAACATTGCACCACAGTCTTGCTTAACGCTGTCGGGTTGGGATCCCGCATCAAAACGAATACGATCCTCTTCGACTAACTCCTGACTGAGGTGATAGCCAAAATACTCGTCACTGCCGCTTAACTTATCGGCTATCTGACATCCGTGAAACTTCTGCTGTTCGTTGTACTTGAA